GAGAAACCTTTTGTCTTCTGTAGTACAAAGCAAAATTGACAGAAACTTATGAATTTAAAAAAAAAAAAAAGTAGAAAATCATTAGCAACTGCGATTTGCAGGGACTGAGATAGCTCTACTGGCTTTCAGTACGCAGGAGCAGTGGCAATCAAAGGATGGAGCCTCGCGCCAGTACCTGCTTTTGCGAACTACGCAGCTTCTCTGCAAACATCAGAATTGATGCTTTCGTGACCCTAGTCAGTGAAAAAACAGCGACTTTTTTAGTTACTCAGATTCTTTCATTTACGCTTGTCACGGAACCTTGCTGCTCTCCTCACCCTTCCCGGTAAGCCTCTTTGCCCTGAGCTTCATGCAGGACAACAGAACAAGCACGAATAACAGGGGGTGTCCTGGTTTGCTAGCATTTATTTTGCCACATTACTAACTGTCCGAGCATACCCACCCCGAGGTGGTTGGTTTTTTTTTGTGGGGGTTTTTTTGTTGTTGTTGTTGTTTTTTTTTCCTTTAGCAGAGGGTTGTTCACCACTAGTTTGAAGTATTTGTACCAGTAGAAATATCTTCAGCATTTGTCTAATCTCTGAGCACGCCTTTCTCAGGCATTTTGGAGCTTTAGGACTTCATTTTGTGTTTGCAGCGGTGAAAGGCTATTCCAGTTCACAACCGGTTTCTGCGGCCTGCCTCCCCCTTTCAAGTGCGCTTGAAAAGGGTCACAACTTCAAACAGCACCAGCGTGGCAGGACTGTGCGACAGACGCAAGGAAACAGCGTTTCAAGAGGTCATCCAGTCCATAGGCAGAAACCTACCACAGATGCCAGAGGACATGCACGTGGACCTGTTTAGACCTACACGCTTCAGAACTGGAAGCCATGTCATCTTAAGGGAGGGACCTGTCCAAGCTCCGGGCTTAAAGAAAGACCTAATAGCTGTTGACAAGCTTGTCAGCACCTGGCCTCGTTGGGAGGTACCATCTCCCATTTCTCAAATTTCTGCTCTATTTTAGGAAATAAAAAGTACAGCTTGGTACTGTAACCTTGAAAGCGTTGCCATTCCCTGATCTGGATTTTTGTCCCCCAGGGCAGGATCCTGTCCCTAAGCCACTCTGGTCACACCATCGTCCAGTTTGTCCCATGTGTCCAGCAATCATGAGATTTTCCTAGTCTCCACCGTCTTTACTGTCAGGGAGTTTTTCCCACCCGGCAGTGGCAATCACTCAGCAGAGGCAGTGGGAGAACCAGAGGAGCGCACCTCCTGGGCACTAGGAGAAGCTGGTAGAGGCATGCCTTTCCCTTCTGCCTTTTGTTTCCTTTAGGGCGGGGTGGGCCACACATCTCCCAGCCCTTAGGACATCTCGCTGCTCTTCCTTCTCGCTTCCCTAGTTTTGTTGGCTCCCTCGTTGTCAGGTCGTCTTAATAGTGGATGTCTGGTACCTGCTGCTCCTTATGAGTTCTTGCCGTTTCCCACAGAGTAGCGTGGCTTGCCTCCTGTCACTCAGCGGTCCAGTTTCCTCCACCTCTGGCACTGCCCACGTGCTGGAGCACTGCCAGGATTGCTTACAGAGCAGAACTACAGATTCCTTCCCTAGACAAACCCCGGGAGTGCTTTTGTGGTTAGATTGTTCCTGGGTTCGCTCCAACAGGCAGCGAGACCACGCTAGGTTTCTCACTCTCGCCGTCAAGCATCACTGTACAGCACTATTCTGTCACGCTAGAGACCCCCACATGCCTCTCTGCCTGCAAAGCAGAGTTTTTATTAAACCAAGTAAAATACAAGGTATTGTGACGTTGCTTTCTCCTCATCTTTGAGGATTATAGGAAATACAAATTCTTATAGCTTTTAAAATGCTATGTAGCCCCATGGACTAGGCCACCGTGACAGCATTGCTTGACCTGTCAGTCACAATTTCAAGAGCCCACCTCACAGCTCCTACGAGATAGCCTCCTACGGAGGAACTGAAGCAGCCTGCCCTATATGGGATGAGCCGTAGGTAGGGGGGTTGTGGGCCCATACACACCAATCTGACCCCGGCGACAGGGAAGTTACTCACAAAGTCTAAGCAGAGCCCACACTGCCAGCTTTTGAACTGTTTTGTTTGGTTCCTTCACCCTTGTAGGGAACAATGACCAAAGGTAGCAATGAAGGGGTAACAGGTAAGAACTCAAATTTTCAGAGAGAAAGCCCCACAAAACCAGCAACCAGTTACACCCATTTCCAAAACAAACCAACTAAAAAAGAAGCCCCAGCCCCAAAACAGGTACGCTGAACGAGTTGCGACTCAAGCACAGAGCAGACCCTTCCTTTCCACTCCTTTAAGCTCAGCTTCACCACAGAAATCTCCTCTCACCACGTGTGAAGTTTCTGCCCTGTATCAGCTTCTCTGTACTGAAATGATGCTGATCATTAGGTGAACGAACGAGACAGAACCACCGTCCAACAAGCTGAAACAGAGATTTCCAGAAAAGACCACCTGGTCTTCGACAAACTTTTCACAAACCAGTAGATTTTCCTTTCAGGGCTTCCAGATGTCTGCTTTAATTTTATCTACTTGACACAGACAGAGAATATTCCAGAGTACAAGCATCAGGTTCCTGAAAAGCTGTGCTTATATCCAAGTGGGCCAATTGTGAAATATTCTCCCCATTCTCATTGAGGAATAAGGTCCGTTGTCTCTATTTTAAGATTGTATCATGAGACTACCCCATTTTGGCATCGAATTATGCATGGAGCCATTATTTGCATTTCAGGAAACATTTACAGTATCTCAATATACTCTCAGATTTCTGAGACAATCTCAAACATCTGATTGTGAACAAACTCATCATATATCCGGTAAGATTCGTAATTTGAACTGACCTCTAACATTCAATCAGGCAATCCAAGTCTACGTCAAAGAGGCACAGAACATTGATACTCAGATGAAGCTCCTATTTCTCTTTCCCCAGTTCCCCTAAAGCCTAGCCAAGTCTTGACTGAATCAAAAATTATTTGGGAAAGAAGCGACAGAGATGAGGCAACCAGTACAGTATCTAGATACTTGCTTTCCTTTTTGGATGTGGTACCAAAAGGTTTCTCACCCAACTCCTCTGAAAAGTAATCAGGAAAATATTTTCTTTCTTTTAAGAGACACAAGTATTTCCTACTCTCCTAACTGGAATTTTCCAGAGAAGTACAACTAGCCACAGCAATGTATTCAGACAAAAGGTTTACTCATCACAGCTGTAATACTGTGTGTAACAGTTTCAAGGTCTAAGAGACATAATGGAAACCATACAAAGGCCTCTACCACGGTCTGTCATGCCTTTTTTTTTCCCCCCTGAAACGTAGGTGATAAACTACATGTGAAATAAGCATCTTTCAAAACCAAAATGGGGCATTCAGGAGAGAAGCTTGTATTTCAAGCAGAAACTATGAGCTAGGTCAGCGGACAGAGCGGGATTTCTCTCCCTAGTACAGTTAAGAAAGAAATTATTTTAGTAAGGCACCTGAAAAAAAGGTCTGAGCTAGTAGATTGTTAAATGGTTCCATAAAACTTTTGAATGACTTCTGTATTTTGAATACAAAACATGGAAATACACAAATCAGTTTCAAGTTCCTTTTCCCTTAAAGATTCATTTTATTAAAAAAAAAAAATTATTTATAGGGCAGCTTTTTTTTTTTGTCACTGTTCCTCGATAACTTCTGAAACCATTCAAGGAGAGCTGGAATTGCCGTTTGTTCCTGCAACCTTTATGAAGCATCGGTGCCTGGAGAGAAAGCCCCAAATCCAGTGAGCAAGGCCTCAGATATGGTGGTGAACCCTACCCTGCCCTAACAGTACCTACACACGCCAGACTAGTCCAAACTGCATTTTGACAAGCCCAGCAGATGTCAGAGAAACTGAGGCTGCTAGTTTCTCTGTAGAGAAAGAGGTATAAAGCACACAAATCCATCCAAAGCTTTGGTTTGCTACTCGGAGGTCAGCTTTCATTTTAATTGGCAATTTAAACCTACGTAACATGCATTCTTCTAACCGTTTTGTGGGTATCAAAGTTACTTCAGATGACAGTTACTCTATCTTTAACAGTATGTTTTTAGCAGATAAACCTCAAGATGGTTTTTAAACTGTTTGTCAGAGTAGACTACAGTCTAGGAGTAAGCTTTCTCTACGACATTTGAAAAATGGGCTTTTACAAGGCTTATCCCGCTACAGATAATGTTTTAAAGGACACAACACTTACATTTAAGTTCACATTCAAAACACTGTTTCTTAAAGTATCGTGATATTTTAAAGAGACTAACGATTTATTCAGTGTAAACACAACATAGAGAGTTGTAGAGTTCCAAATACACATCTGGTCTGCCATTTCTAGTGTTGTGCAAACTAATTTACTTAATTTCAAATCTAGCATAGTGTCAAATAACATCTAGCCAAAGTTACAGAACTGATTTTTTTCACATATGCTTGAAATTAGACTTCCCAGTTTAACTAAATTTTTTGATTTACAACAAAGAAAAAAACCTGTAAACAATTCAACAGCAGTCAGCAACAAGAATGGGTGACAACTGTCAGTCTTCAAATATAACTTAAGTTATGCCCTTTCTTACCATCAACTTTTAGTCAAATATGTAAATAAATACAAGAACTAACACAAATAAAAGTGTCACTATAAGAAAATACATTATATGCTGCAATTTGGAATAAAATATCATACAATATTGGCTGCACCATTTGAAATATGCGTTTGATGCCTAAACCAGTTTGACACTAAACAGTTACACCTTTTCTTTGTGTAGAGGACTACACTTCTACTCACTGTTAGAAATGTGTTTTGTGATTAATTTTATACTAGTATATCAAACTCCTCAATGTGAAAATGACTCAAGTCATTTAGTGAAAGAAGATACCATAGGCACCATAATATATATTATTTTTTTTTCTTTTTAAACAAAATCTGGTGATGAACCAGCAGTAACAAAATAGGATGAAAATTAAAAGGCACATTCAGGCAAAAAATAACCACCACAGTTTGCATGATGCTGTATTTAAAAAAAATAATTTATGCTCTCAATAATCGATCGGATCAGGAACAAATACTCTGGCAGATTCTAATCTGTCAGAGAGAAAGTAAATTTCGGAAAAGGTGTGCCATTCAAATTATATAGTTATTTTTTAATGTTGAATTTTGTTTTGTATTAAGGTCAGTATAAGGCTTATAACCAAGTGCACGTTAAGAGGACTACTTGACTACTCAAAACCTCTTGTTTTCCAAGTGCATAGAAATACAATGAGCAATGAAGATACTCCTTGCAAGAAGATGTATTCTTTAGATGTGCAAATCTTAATCAAGTACTTGAGCGTCTTTCGGGTCTCGGAACACATTTCATAATCGCAGCTCTCCACAGGGCAGGGGCAAGTAAAAGGCTTAGAGTAGTCACACTCAGAATAAGAAGATAGACCTGAAAATTGCAAAATAAAAGCCATTAACCCCTCTTAGTTACATGGTAAACTAAGATGTGCTGAGAAGTTTGAGGAGATCAGACTCTTCTGGACAGTATTTTCAGGAGACTTCACCTGTCTCCCTAACCAATGGTTCATATTGCTACAAAAGCAAACGAGTGCATGCTCAAATCATCTAATTATCTGCTTACCTGAAGATACAGTTACAAAAACAACATTATGAGCTTACAGAAAAACAGTTATTTACACGTATAGTTAAGAAGTCAATTTTGAAAGCTAAACGTTTGCTAAAAGGTCAAAGACCAAATATCACTTTATTAAACAAACAAACAAACAAACCAACCAAAACAAAACAACAAACAACCCACCCCCCCACCAAAAAAAAACAAAAAAACAAAAAAACAAAGAACCCAACAAAACCAAGAACCAAGCCACCCAGAACTATTCTGGTTTGATGATATAATGGCAAAGTTCACTAGTATTTTATACAGTAAAAAAAGCAAACAGAAATCCCTTTCAGTCATACTGCCCATCTTCTGAAAACCGATCTTAACTACGTAGTCTGGATGAGTCTTATAAAACAGCAGCAAGAAGTAGTTTTGAGGTCTCAAACAGAAGAATGACTTTGGGAAATCTCAGAGCTATATAAACCTACACAGTAGATAATCATGTGAGAGCTGCCACAGAAAAAAAAAAGGAAAGCCTAAAGGCCTCCAAGCGCAGTGGGTGGGCCCCTAAACTGGTTCTGTGATCACATACGGATATCTTGAAACTCTGCACAAACATACAGTATTTATAATTCCTAATTATACGCAGGAGTGAACATGAAAATGAATCACCTTTACCTATACAAGTGAACAGCACTGGGTAAGTTTTTCACACATGCTTTATTTGGAATTGGTTCCAGCATTATACAGCCCAGTTGCTCACACAATGAAAAGCTCAGAGCACCAGCAAAGTGCTTTTGTGAGCAGAGATATAGAGGAGAAAGCAGCTAGCACTAGAAAGTGAGGTCAGTTGTTGTATCTCTATAGCCATAATTTTACTTAGTTTCACAAAGCATACTTAATCTTGGAAAAATAACGTTCTCTCAGCTTCAGAATAAAACTAAAGTTTAAGGTTTCTTTCCCAGGGGATTTTTTTCATAACTACTGAAAAAGCTGGTTGTTTCTTCTGCAGAGGATTTAAAATGAACAAGCTTTGCAGGTAGGAACTACAAGTTTGTTTGCTTGTTTAGCTGTTAAGGCAATTTCCACTGCACCATATCTGCTCTCTAGTTCTTATTTACTCATATTTCCTTATTCACACCCTATACTCTCAGTATCTGTATCAAGATTTTAAAAGCAAAGGCTTCTCAGTCTTACTGACTTGGGTGCTATCTACAACTCACTGCTCAGTTAATAAAGAAGTTGTAAGTGAGAGCAGTTAAGGTAAAGCGTTTATGACTAAGCTATTTAAAAGTAAAGCCTGCTATTTAAAATATTAAAGTACAATATGAAACAAGTGAAAAATAGAACCAAGAACCCTGTCAGGGACATACACGCCTCCATTCATATGGGTTGATTTTACTTGTTAACAGTTGAGAGGTGCCGCAGAACTGGAGTGTATTGGTATTTCCAATACACTGTAATACAAAATCCCAGTAAGTTATTCAGGTGCAAAACCCAAAGTTAAGAACTATAGAACAGCTTACCTCCCGAGATATGATGCCTGCTCTGCGCGCTCTACTTCCCAGAACAAAAGAGAATTCACTGACTTGTGCCAGTCCTGCTGAGACAATCCACTTGATATACTGGCTGGTCTTTGGAAGAATCAGAGAAAGGACAAGCACTGCCAAGACAAACTTTAAAAACATTTTTGTTTGGTTTGGGTTGTTGCGGGTTTGTTTTTGTTTTTAAATTAAAAAAAAAAAGTGCAATAAATAAAATAGTACAATCTTTGTAAGATACATGGCATCAAATACAGTAATTCTGGACATAAAACAAACCAGTGTGGACTTCTAAATGTGTCTTCTGTATTATTCTGTATTATTGAGACCAATGTACATTGCACAGTAAAAAGTAGTATCTTGATTACTATAACAAAAACACTTGATAACTTCATCACAAATCCCAAGCTAGATAAATAGATGTTTCTCCATGTGTTACTTTTAACATGAAATACAATCCTTTTTTTTTTTCAATATCCTAAGACTGTTGTATCAAACTTCATTCTAATCAGTAAGATTCTTCCAAATACAGATTTACAGTAAAGACGTAATATTCTCTGTTACATCACATGTTCAGTTCTTCCTCAGAATTTTCATTAGGGCATGCAGCACAAAGTTTATTTAGACTATTAAAAGATAAAACAGAGAAAAAGAAAATACCTTCATTATGACCACAGACAATGTAAGGAATAGTAAGACCGTGAGTTCATATATTACAAATGTGGGGAAAACATGAAGTCCTAGGAGGAAAGAAAACAGTATTTCAAACTTTAAGGCCAATACCTTACTATGATAGTTTTCCGAGTTAATGGTACATTTATTGCAAGACTGTATTTTCAAAAACGAACAAAAAGCCCTAACATACCTACCAGCACTACCTACTTGATCACTAAAGCACTTCCTGCATCAGCCAACTATTTTCCCTTTGGAGGGGTTTAGCACAAATATTGCCAATCAAGTTAAATAGTATATGACCGATGCACGAGCACTTGCATCTATAAAGTTTTCTCTCTTCCACACCAGTCAACAATCCAGCATCTGAACTGAAACACACCTCTAATGAAAGCTATCAAAATGCTGCAGGAAAACAATTCTATTGTTCTGCACAGTGATGGTAATGTACACTTTGCTTGCCGTTCAACAGTTTTGTATGACATGGTAACGGACTGTCACTGTGGGAGGAACACAATCCTCAGAATTTGTGCAGACTACAGCTACAACAGAAAATGTAACTGTTTTGATCCCAAGACCCTCACTTGCAAACACTGAAAGTCACCTGAACTGGAAAAGTCACTTAGACTGAAATCAGGCAAAGTCATAAACCCCTGAGCATGGTCTAACAATTAAAGAGCACAGAAATTTAAAACTAAATCCTGCTAATATTAAACACAAGAAGTATTTGTTGGAGAAGTCCTGGAGTCACTGAGGAAGAATCTTACAGCTGACGAAGTCCGTTTTTTCCTCCTAGGCTATAAGGAACTTGTGCAGGCAAACATAACTGTATATCTTTAGAAGCTCATTCCTTTTCATAATAGCTCTTAAAAAGAGGAACCAAAAGCATGGTGGTGTTCCCGATAAATCTGTAATAGTTGGCAGTTCTCCAACCCAATTATTTCTGGTGAAGGACAGGAGTTTAGCTTTCTAAAGCATAAGGCATGTAAATCGATGCTGTAGCTTCTTATTTTAACTAAAGACAAGTTTTCACTAATTTTCCCTGCCCCTTTGCGCTGCAGAGCCAGAAGAGTTGTAGAGAACTAAGAGTCATCTCTTCCTGAGCGCACAAGAGAAGTTACTTAAAGTAACTTCAGTGTTTTGTCCATACGCACGTTCCATTGTGGATGGAAATGTACTTCAAGTACATCAGAGATTTTTATACAAGTACTACCCATTCAGCACGTACACACCCCGTTTTACTACTTAATTTCCTTCTAACTACTGAAGTACAAGCGCAAAAGACTACCAGAACAAGGGGAGAGATGGCAGAATAAGAGAGGTGATCACCGCACTGAAAAAGAAATCCAAATGTGTGCACGCATGCACGTGGAGGGGCAAGTAGCTTCTTGTGCATCATGTGCACATTGATTATTCACCTTTAGGCCGGTCTCAGAAACATACATGAAAAGCAAATAGAGAAACACAGCCTGTAACAATGCCATGTCTGACAAGAGGGCCAACTCTGCCACATCTGGAATTGAAGATTTCAGAGGGAGGCTATAAATACAGCCTAGTGCTCTCATCACTACTGGTGGAGCTACCTTTTCAGTTCTGGAGCAGACAGGCAGTCTGAAGTCCATTTGAACTGCTGCCCAGTGTGGAGATTATTACCATATTACAAAGAGCTGAGACACAAACTACCACAGATTTCTGTACCGATCCCGTGGAGGTATGAGTCTGCAAAGTGGAACAAGCATAAACGTGTTACATACACTATTTATTCTGAGCAAACAAATAAACATCCCAGCACACAGCCATCTTCTGGAGGAAATAAATCCCACCATAGTGGATTTCACAGTCATTACAGACTTTTGCCCCAGCCCTAGATGAAAACTTAAGATAAGGCCAGAAGTCATATCAGACTGCTGCACAAGCACATGAAGCCTTCCTGACAACAGGAATCTTGTTAGCGAGATTAACTTCATAGACAGAAGGGGCACAAATGGGGCACTTATTTCAACAGTTTTAACCAGACTTTGTGACTAAGCTCAAGGGTCACTATGGACTAGTTCTCTAAAATGGAAGAAATGCTTCAATCAAATAATTCGAGAACTTCAGCACCTTCATCAGGCAGCATGAGGCATGTTGGCCTGTCACCAATCGCTAGGCTATCTCTTAGGTACATTTTCACAGAGGTGAGCATAAGCCACCGGACTTCAATTCTAAGGAGTGTTCTGGAATAGCTGGAATGGAGGCTGGGAGTGCAGGTGACCTCACATCAATGTCAGGCCGAAAGACACATTCACTCATATGAAGTCCTTTCTGTGGGAAAACCGACATTTGTCTCCATCTTCCTGCGAAGGGGAAAGCCCTCTTGATTCTAGTGTCAGTTCCGAGAGCTTGAAACCTCCAAGTTTCACTGTGTTCCGTGCAGGACAACAAAGCAGTAGAGCTGGATGGATAAGGAGAAGGCGATGTAAGTCACCCAATGAATTCCAGTTGGCATCTTCCTTTGATCTCTCTCAAATTCAACAGAAATGTTAAGAGGCTCATCAGAGAAACATTGTGTGCGTGTTTGTTCTGGACAGTGGTAGTGCTGACAGTGTCAGCATCACCCATCTTCTGATGAAAAAGACCGCACTTTTAAAGGGTTTTCAGCATTTTGCGTTCAAGGTCCAATAATGACCACAGGATTTACCCAGAAGGGAAACATGGAGCCTTGCAAGTGAGTAGATCTGTACAGCACATTGAGGAGACACAACTTAGTCAGTGTAAGTAATCTGCCTCCTTACCAGCGGCAGATAGGATTCCTGATGTCCAATTTCAAACTCCATACCCCTTGTGGACTGACAAAAAAATGAGACTATTTAAAAAATAGTCAAACAGTCTATGCAAAGATGCCTTCCATCTTTCTAAAAACCAACTAAAACAAAGTCAAACGATGCAGAGGTAGAAAGGAAAGGATCTGAGTACTAGGTACCAAAACAGAAAGGAGAAAGAAAGCTCTCACAATGTGGCTTTAAGGGATTGGTCCAGATGTTCTCTCAAAAAATAAAATATTAGTGAAGACAGAGACTAACAGGAACTTTCTAACCTCAGCACATAGCATGAATAGAGTCAGAAACCTTGAAGAACACACACAGGCCTAAACGACTGTACAGATGGAGAATAACTCAAAGTGCAGCTGTTAATGCCTAACCGCAAAGGTGTATTATTCCCACAAATGCACCCATGCGCAAATTTGAAAGCAGTAGCACTACACAGGTCAAGCTAAGGGCAGGACCACTGTTACAGATATTACACAAACAAGTACTATTCAGCTCAGCTTTTAGGCACCAGAAGGATTTCTGTACTGAGAACAGACAAGCGTTTAAGACAAGCAAAATAGGAACTAACTTTTCCAAGTGACACGTATACAGTCACTTTTCAATTATCTCAGTTTTTTCTATTCATTCTTTTATTTTAAAAGGAACAGAAATTATAATACTGCAGTGCCGTACCATCCTCCCTCAGGATCTCAAGTGTTTCTGCTCTCTGTAATATGCTTGCTGCATACAGCAACAAGCCATTTCCTTAGGCAGGGTGAGAGAATCTTTCCCTGTGGCCTTTACATAATTTCACATAGTAAATCTCTATATAGATACATATAATTTGCATGCGTACATATCTAAGTAGAGAGCAAGCAAGAAGTCTTTTCTTACTAGGTTTCTTTTAAAAAGTTTAAGGAATGCTTTTTATCCTACTCAGGTTTTCTTTGCAACTACATGTCATTCCTTTTTAAAACCTACCTCCTCGCCACCCCACAGAACTTCCTGTTAACCACAAAATTTGAAAGTAATTAAAAGAAAAAGAGTGGGATAATGTTTATTTGGGGGGGAGGGGGTTTTTGTTTGGTTTTTGTACAGGTTTGGGGTTTTGGTTTGGTTTGTTTTTTTACCAGCAAGCATTGTCAGATTTTGTCTGAGGCCTATAACATAGCTCATTTTTCTGATTTTTAGCTAACTTTCTTCTGAGTCAGGAATAACACCCATTTTCTGTAAAACCATACAATCTTGGTAGGCCATTTTCTTTCCCTTCTTGTAATTATAATCGCAACAACAGTTAAAAAGTGGGGTTTTTTTTTAATCCTGTAACAGAACTACCAAAATAATTTCCTTACAGTATAACGTAGGCTATATGGAGTGCTGCCAGCATGTCAGCCGAGGTCTTGCTATTTTCTTGTACTCTCCCAGTCTTACCTCTAGTCTTAATTCATGCAGTCACAAGAGTGTAAGACAGTATTTTTGTTAAGTCCCTTGTAAAATTAACTTTGGGCTCATAATGACTTGTCACGGTTTGTGTCCCTGACAGCACTAATCTGCTCCATCACCATCTTTACTGAAACACATAAACAACTTACCTGTGAGCATTTAGCAATTACTCATCCAACCTTGTCAGTTACATGGGCCCAAGAGTTTTACCATAGCTCACCACTCTCCTCCCTTTATTAAAAAATAAGTTATTCAAATAAACACATCTATTACTAGGCAATCTGACTGATCAGCACAAGCTATTATCATGATCTGGGTAAAACAAAAATCAAGATCGGCAAGCACAACTATTTCCTTTTTATTTTGGCAGCCACCAGAAACAGCTTTAGTTTCTGTTATGAAACAATGGGTATCAAACAGGTATATGAGGAAATGCATTAAAATTGTGCTGATGAGACTTCACTATTATCTGAATAAACATATGGAGATAAAAAGAACAACAGAAAAACTTAAAACCAGGAAAAAAAAACAAGGGTGGCCTTGAAAAAAAAAACAACCAAACCCCAAGAATTTCTGAGTAAGCACGGGTTGAAGGAGGCTCAATTTGTGCAAAGAGCCACACTCAAACCCTCTATTTTAGACCTTGCAGTGCTCCCAGAATAGGCCATGCATCTCCTATACAGTGCAGGGGGACAGGCAAGTACTTTCACTGGGCCTGTCTCCTCCCTTAGAGAAAGCGTATTGGGGCGTGCGTGGAAAGCTAGAGAATGTAGCAGTTCAAAATGAAGCCATTGACTGTAAACATTGTCAGTTAACTTGTTTTGGGTAACAAGCATGATGAGTTACTCTCCTGATCTTAGGCATCAATGCTGCATTTCAGTTGGCATTCGTGTAGTCTATGAGATGCATCTTGTTCAATTTTTTTTTTCTCTGCATTGAGAGCACACAGATCACATTTTCCCAACTAAAGAAACAAGATGCTATAAAAAAAAAAAAAATCTGTTTTCATTATCATGTCCTGCTTCTAGAGAAAACCAAGCCACAAGAACCTGAAATTTACTCTACCAGTTGACTCAAAATAGTTACACAGTTTTAGTATAAATTACAAATATAGCTGCTGTAAAGACAGAACAGTTAAAAAAAAACCCCAAAAAACCATAAAACCAAAACCAACACTGAAAAAAAAGCCTTTTCCCTTAAAATTTCTAGTTACATAGTTTAATGCTATTTGCATGAATTCAGAATTAACAACGAAAAACTGACATTAAAACAAGAACTGAGAGTACATGTAAACTGCCTAGCTATATTGTGGTCAGTTAACAGTTTAGTATTTTAACAAAACAAAATCTACCTCCTCCCCCCAATTTGTAGACACCAATTTTTCTTTTTACACACACAGTCCCCCATTTGTAGGTTAACATTATTTTTAAAGTTTTTTTTTTCTTAAAAGTTACCTATGGATGCAAAGAAAATGATGGCAAGAAAGTCACGTATTGGTTCAATACAGGACATAATCTCCTCAGTAACCATGTGACCCTGAGAAGAGATCAGAGCTCCGGCTAAGAAGCATCCCAGCTCCATTGAAACATCCAACAGCTCTGTGATCTGCCAAGGAATAACAGAGAATATTTCTGTTCTGTAGTCCTGAATGACTTTATATACCACTTCACAGTGAAATTATAAAAATCTACATTATACTGAATGTAGGAAATCACTATGTCTTTACACAAGTCCAACAACAAACAGAATTCAAAGTATTTATTTCAGTGTTCTGCAGTACTGTATTTATACAAAAGACTCACAAAACCAGTTTCCCCTCCACGTTACCTCCTTCCCCACAAAAACAAAAATAAATTTCTTAATCTACATTGCAATGCTTTGTGTCACTCCTAAGGATAGCATCTGATTTCACAAAAACGAGAAAGACTGTAACAGCTTCAGAGTCAGGATTACATAATACATTGAGGCTGAGAAATAAAGCAGTAAGAACAGCATATTTTCCAGCTGTCAAACACAGGGAAAAAATAAAAATCAAAGCTTATAATTTGGGAGAATAGTCTCAATTTAGCAGAACTCCCAGGCATAAATTACATTTTATTATTGTAAATTGGACTTAAATGTGCCTCTGTGCTTTCCTGAATAGGGATGCATCTAAGCATGTGAAGTAAACAGCTGAAATGAAGCATGGTATCTATTTGAAAGAATTCAGACTGCTTCATTCTTTTTTATTATTTGAATACAGTACGAGAAGGAAGAGATGAAACATATGTAAAGAGACAGAACTAAAAACAAAGCCACTGCTTAAGGCAATGCTCGGAACATTAAAAAAAGCAACAAGCACTTTTAGCTGATATAAAGTATGTTTTAAAATAATAATTACTTTAAAGCCATGCTGCTGCAGACGGGCATCTTACTGAGAAAGTGCAATGCTATTAATATTAATAGAACATGTAAAACTGAAGACTTATTTCCATCCTAATTTAGATTAAGCAACAATACTTTGTAGTACATTTATGGACAACATTCATCATATCTTGAATGGTGTTATGCTGTAAGGTATGAAGCTGAAACTTAAGTGACTTGAAATTAATGGAACAGAGCAAAAGACAAAATAAACAAGTCTCCAAGCTATGCACAAAAAGCAACCTAAAAATAAACCCCAGACGTTTTGTGTGTTGAAGGATTAATGTCTGAATGCTCATCACGTAACTTCATTTGCGCTAACGGTCTGCAATTTATTGCAAGACATTTAAGAAAATGAATTAGTTCTGTCAACTAACGCAAATAGTTGCTGATCAGGCAAAACCAACAAAGTAACATTATGATGCTATGACATTTTAAAACAAAAGGAATTTCAGCGCTTTTCACCACAATTTGGAATTGTAAGAGGGAAGAAGGAAATATATATAAAAGGCTTTAAAATCACCAAAAGATGAATAAGATAAAGGGAACGGTTATGAACAGGAAACATTTAAGTTCTTCTCCGTCACACATTACTTGTTTTAAAAGTCACCTCTTGAGTATGATTAATAGCCAATACAGCCTCTTCAAATAAAGTTGGAATTACTTTTACTCTTCAGCTATAACCCCCACGCACTTAAGTGCTATCAGCTATAATAGAGCTCCAGATCAAAACTTTTACACCTAATATTTTAAGTATTCCCATGAACATGGTTAGGTTACCATGTACGAAGGGATTTAGCATCTCTTGTGTTGGAATTGCACAATACGGTGCTGTTATTAGAATCGCTATTCAAGCAAGGAGCAATTTAAGTGTGAAAGAAATATGCTTGTTCAGAAAGCATCAGACATAACTGGAGCAAACTACGTCCGCCTGGGTTTGCTCCCACAACATAAAAACTGAATTCCATTCCTTCACTCTATGGCAAGCTAAGTATGAGCTTAAGGGCCTGGTAGATAATAAGGCAATTTCTGCTACTTCTTGTCTGCTCTCTAGGTACTGCACAACCTCAGGTCTGCAAAAATCTATCGGTCACTCTACACACAGAAAATGTGAAGTGGGTGAAAGGGCAGGAAAAGAACCAAAACCTACATTATTTTCTTAACCCCATCCCCCCTCGTCCAGTCTGTTCTTCAGATTTATACAGAGACTCCGTTTACTATTCCCATCCTGGTCTCTGCTTGTCCAACAATATTACTGACAAGCGGATACTTTTCTTCGACTAAATCTGTAGCATCAGGGTTTATTATATATCATGTGTGGGCCCGCATGCCTGGAGAGAGTTTGTTTTACTGGCAGGAAGGCATTCTCAGCAAAATTTCTTATATAAGCAAAACTTGGAAAGTATTTTGCATTTAGTATTCCCATTCTGCTTGCATAATTTGTAATGTTTTGTCTTTACCAAACAGGGGTCTAACAATTACTAATCCCTGGCCTCTGCACTGTCCTTTTCTTCACTCCTATATTACGGAAAGCTTTTTCAGTCAAAAATAAATTAAAAGTTTTGCCAATTTACATGTTTTTCCCCAGTATGATTTAGTTTTTATTTGTTTTCAGAGGTCCTATTTTACTCTAACTCAGGAAGGATTGCTTTGTTTTCACTAGAACATTGGATTTTTACATTCAAATGTTCTACCATAGCAATAAATAGAAATAAACGTTACTGCTGTAACATGTTCCAGCTGAATTTCAACCATTTGTTCAGCAGTTGTTTTGCCTACATTCTCAATAATGTGTATCTTATTGCCACTGTTTAATCATCATAGAAGCTTAATGAATATGGTAAGCCCGTAGAATAAAAGAAATCCCTGATGGAAATAAATGTATTAGAATTTCAGGCTTTAATAACTTAAATCTGCCCAAGAGTAAAGAGGTGAATTCTAAGCTTGCATTTTAAGGAAGCAAAGCCTTAATAGAAATGGAAACAATTTTTAGTGAGCCTTGTAAAAACTCCATCTCAACTGTATTTTATTAAATAATTAACTAGAATATTTGAGATTACAATTCTTCCTTAATCTTCTCCTTTTAATTGATGGAAAAGAATTCATAAGCAGGTTATGAGCCATTGAGAAGTACTCCAGGCAAACAAGGAATGACATTCCTAATACACTGCAGGAAAAAGTATGTACTTTTTCATATATAAAGTACTGCAATAACATAGCTATATTTTCTTTTCATCTTTTTGGTATATAAAGCAAGCTGCCAATTTCCCTCTGTTTGCTGCCATCATCCCAGGTCAACCATAAGGCAGTCAAACTGGAAGGCACTATTTTTTTCCCTCCCCTATATGTATGCACAGTCTTATAAACATGTAAATTAACTGCTATTCTTCTTGTCAGGTCAGGCTTTATTTTTTTCCAATTCTTTAATAACATTCAGCAACTTAGTTTCAAAACATAACAAAACTGACACTTGTCTTGCAGATATCTAATACAGCAATTCATTATCAGGATAGTGTTTAAAACAAGTTTCCTTGTAATGTTTCTGTACATACAGAACATGAAAAAGCAACACTACACCAGTGAACACTCTGGCTGACTTACAACATGTTCTTCAGCTCATTGTGGTATATACCTCAACCTCAAAGTACCACTTCGGCCATCGATCCTAAATGGTCATATTTAAAACCATAAGCTAGATTTGCTCCTTATGTTGCGATTCAGGAGAACAGTTCCCCACTTTTAAAAACACAAAAAGCAGCATCTGCATAACTCAAAGCTTGAGAAGGAGTTGCTGAAAGTGTAGTAATGATCTACCGAACCTTCATTACTGATGACAAGGTACATGATCGACAGATGCACAACTGTGTCTCAAAGTCAGCTAGACTTCTATAGGATTGGCACTTGACATAATCCCCGTGCCCGATCTGCCTACCTAGTTGAGAAGAATTTCAGTTACTTCTGAGAACATGTGGGAACAGAAAGAGCTATCTTAAGCTCCAAATCATGGTAAAATATCTCGTATTTGAGATTTGCTGCATCTCTTTTACTCTAAGCCAGTTTATCAAGAAGAGATGTATTTAAGATCCTGTTTCAGATGTAATGAGTTGCGGTGTTATCCAAGTGAGCCAAGCAGTTCAGAAATGCCCAAAAGTCACTTCCATACAGAAAGCTCCTCAACTGACAGGATAATCTTTCCATCAAAATTGCTTACTCACTCTGCAGTATAGGAACCTCTTCTGTCCTATCCTCCCTCTTGTTTTCCCATATAGAATTTGCCCTTATTGGTAGGGAAATGGCAATTCTTCTTTAATTAGTCATCTGAGATTTTCACACACAGGAAACAAGTAAAATAAATTAAGTTTCTGTATAATGCGCATTCCATGTGCTACTGTTACAGAAGAACCCGAATACAGGACAAACTTAGGTGGACCCCAGGAATCATCAAAACACTGAAGCATGTAACAAGTAACTGTATGCATGAAGCAGGAATACCGTATCATTCCTACCCTCTTTGTCATGTATCGGAAAGGATGTGGCCTGCAGCGCAATTCGTGTGCTAGACAGAGAGTTAAAATATTTTGTTTAAAAATGTCTCTCAAGTTTTCTAAATGGAGTCGCAGAGTCATCTTTGGTTAAGGCCACTAAAATATGCGCTCTTGTATTCCTCCCTCTACAAATTCACAAGCTTTTTTTTTTTTTTTTTTTTTTTTTTTTTACAATTACACCAGTGTAGTACATTCTGTGTTGCAGGTAACTGTACAAACTCCATCAATATTTAGGCTTGGTTTTCCAAGGAGAAGGATCTTTGCAGGAGCATGACAGTTTAATTGTTTTCCTGCTTAGCATCCAAAAACCTTAATGTTTCCTTTTCAAACATATGCAACATTTTTTCAAATTAGATTGCCATCCCCCATCCTATGTTTTTGTTCCAGACATAGTAGGGCATCTATACCAATTAAAATTTGTTTTCCAGGAGATTTGTTTGTTAAGCTGTTCAAATGGACAACCAAATACTTTTGTTTTGGTTTGGTTTTCCTTTTCTTTTTTTTTTTTTTTAAGTCTTTGTGCTCAAATCACAACTTGTAGCATTACTGTAACGAATGTATCAGTGTCAGTGAGTATCAAGCATCTCAACTGGTTTACTGAGGTTACATGCAATATCTTTTGTACTGATCTCTTTGATACCTTATTTGTCAACTTTAAAAGGAAAATTTTTTTCATTTAAAGTACAGAAAATATTTGCTCCTTGACAAATGCTTCCCATGTTGAAGTAGCATTCTGGTTTTGCAGTAAGAATCCAACACACACAAACATATTCTCCCTCAGGTTTGTATACACACAACTATTATGTAAAGTCATGTAGACAAACTCCTTGTACATTTGATCTGCTATTTGGGCACAACATGCCCAATTCAATGAGATCAGTCTATGCAGGCCTTCTTTTTAATGAAAATAAGCCTGCTTCTAGGTATCATAATATTTTATGCAACTTTTATGGTTTGGTTGTTATTTTTTATTGAGGTTGTTCTACAAATGTTATGTCTGCTTATTAGAAAGTAAAAAGGAGAAACTAGTTTTATTCCTTCTCTTATTAAATAACACATTTGGAATATGAATATCTGTTTATAGGGATGGAAGTTTTAACCTGTACAATAGAAATCAAGAAATTGTAAAGCTATGCTCTCACTAACTTTTTTCTTGACCTTCTTCCTGAAGGAGTTCAGCTTTCTCTGTTGGACCTGTAATAATTAAGCAAATACCCCTAGAAAAAAGGGCACACGCATAGGAACTTTTTGGGACATTTTTTTCTCAGAAATTATTAGAGGACAGAACTATCTGCACATCCAGGATAATGAAGTTTCAAACCCACAACGTTATCAGCTACTGTCACATTCTGCTCTCCAGCAGAACAGTTTTTCAGAGGGTTGAAACATGAGATGGAAACAAATAGAAGGAAGATTCAGAAGACAGTGAACCAAACCCAAAAGGGCTACCAAAATCTATGAACTTTAAGCCATTTCTCCACTTTCTCAACTTCATCTCAAACTGTTCATCTCCCACAGAAGAAGAAAATTATTTTATAATAAAAACCATGTTGAGAATTTGCTATTGAAAAGAAACTTGTGAGCAAATGTCACAATCGGCTGATATCTCAAAACACATCCTAAATTATTTTCAAATGCATGAAGTAGCCCAAAATTAAAACTGGAATCTTCAGCTGGTTGTACTGAGAGTTACCAGCAGAAGTTCAGATGATTTGCATTCAAAATTTTCTCTCTTCTTACTCATCTATGCTGTAATGCATGAATCATTTGTGCATTTGTGGTTTGTTTTAAAACATTTTAAATCCAAATAATTAACTACAGAGGTACATGGATATGCAATAACAGTAAGTGGCTTTTGTGATACTGATGCAGTGAACTACCACGTATATCAAAAAGGTTTATTAATTTAAAAGATTACCGTTAACATAAGGAAGATGAACGCAGTTATTCCTAGAATGAGGATTTCTTTATTCCCTTTGCTTTCCGCATGCAACTTGCGATAATACGGTCCTATGAGATAAGTCTTTATAACAAGACATATAAGAAAAACGGCAGCCAGAGAAAAGAGAATTTGGCCAATCAGTATCAGTATTCTCAGTATTTCCTTGAAAATGCTGGAAGAGAAGAACAAACAAAACATTTCTTTCAAGTGCTCTCATGCCTCCCAACCAGTTCCCCTTAAGTGAAAAGATCTAATTCCACAGATGTTCAAAACTGAGTAGCTACAGTAAGATATTTAGATACATTAGTAAACAAAACAAATACGAAATCTGCTGAGTGCCCAGCAGTCTCTTTTATAGCCTAGAATTTACTTCCATGTTGATTCAAAAAGATTTCTCTTGATTGATCTTCAAGGTAAACCATCAGGCTCAATAATACTATCCCATAGTCTTTGACAAAAGCATGTCTTGAGGGAATAAAGTAACTGAAGAAATTAACTTGGTTTTTACAATAACAAACTTCTCACTACAAATTTTAAGTACTGGACAGGACTAAGGCAGCTAGAGCAGAAAGAATATCCTCATACAACATGACAAATACAAATAGTAAAGCGAACTCACAGAACAGAGTGCATATTTGTCACGGGACTGGCATTAACTGTAGTGCTCTCGTATTCATATTTGCAATCTACATACTAATTTTTTACCTGGAATATGTGCTCACTCCTGCTTGAATAAGTGTAGGCATGACAGCTATAAATAAGCCAAGCTGCACATCCTGCATCACCAACATGCCAAGTAGTACGCTACTGTAGTCAATATCCCCTGTACACCAACAAAGCAGTCATGGAAACATTCATCAGAATCTATGAATGCTTGCAGTGCTCAGAAATCTAGAAATGTCTCAATCAAATGCAGGCTAAGTACAGTTCTCAATGGGGTGAGGTCATTCAAAGCATTCTGTTTGTTTTTATTTTCCCAACCAGTAAGTAAATTAAAAAATATATAAAGATATATATTAAAAATATAAATAAAATATTCATACGAAGCTTCTGTTACACAATAAAAATACAGATGTTGCTTAGCAGTTAAGCACTTACTGGATGAAAACATACAGCCTTTAGAATAACAGACACAGGTAAGAGCCAGCATGTGTAAAATAAACACTTTGAATTTAGACATCAGAATATGAGTATTCTAGGGGGTGGGGAGAAATTCAATGCAGTATGTATGAGGGAGACTTAAGCGGAAGAAAGCAGGATGGCAAAACTTTTGAAAGGAAATGTTTTAAAGTCTTTGAGAAGCTAGCAATATGGCACTTGAAGGTACTAATTTGAAGAGCTGGTAGCTATGAAAGACTACCTGAGCTGGTCTTAGTTTGCTGAAGAAGGATGCGAGTTATTTAAGTTAGCTTTTCTGCCCTGGTGACAGACTGGCAGTCGTGGTCTAACCTGATAACCTCTTTAAAAAGCACAAGGATTCCAGACTGTCAGTGAAGTCAATTCTTATCATGGAGAGCACTAATTGGGCTACACTGCCTTTCTCCAAAGAGGCCTGGCTATGTAACAAGCAGGTACATATCATAAAAAGAATACACTCAACACTGGCTTGTGTTAAAGGAAGATGATCACTTGCAAAGCAAACTTAACAGTGGTTTTTGTTTTGTTTCATTTTTTAACTAGTTTCTCTCATAATATTACAAAGTCAACTTCTTTCAAATTCGATTGTAGATGCTACGGTAGTCCCTATTTAAAATCATACTTACCTTCTTTATCGCCTCGAACACTACCTGCAAGAAATCTTGACACCAATGGCGTGCTTGATAAAGATAAACAAGTGGAAATGAAGACACTTTGTGTTGGTCTAATTTGGAGCAAGTGTCCCCATAGTAAACCAAAGGCAATCATCAGAACCGTCATGTAGCAGGGTCCTTGCAAAGATATTTTCCATACCTTGGGAAGAAAACAAGTTCTTACGATAAAGTCTAATAACACTTTGCTCACTGATAAGTTACAATTATTTTCAGTACAAATAAGCAGTTAAAGATGCACGATTTGGGCCTGCAGTGCTGGGCCACAGAAGTAACAGGCTGTTATCCTATGCGTCCCAAAACTCTGAAGTTATTAAGCCTAGCGGATAATACTCTATGCCAGAAGGCTTATTACCAGAAATTAGGTAAACTTCCCAGAGCTTATAGACAATTTAAGGGCCAAAGGTCCAGTATGGGTTGAAATACATTGAAATCAAATGGAAGACCAGTTATTTGTTGTGATTCCAGGGTGGGGAAAAAAATGGGAGCGGCAAAGATGACCATCATCAAGACCAGCAGCCCACTCCACAGTAGTGAGCGCACAATTCTGAAGTAACAGTTTACATACTAGCGTTTAGGAACTCTTGAATTACTGATTTTTATCTTTGACTTTCGATGGACTAGAAATAGCAGATTAAGCTGAATGCTCAGAAATTTTAGCACATTTAAATTAAAGCTTTTATAATCTTCTGAACTCACAACCATCAGTTTAGGAACAAATCACACAATGCAACGCTTTACATACATGCAGTCTTTCCATATTTTGCAGCAGTATTTTCCACTATTAAAATTCTAGCTGGTTTATTAACTTTTTTTTTTATTAAGACCAAAAGAAACTTGTACCTTTTTACTGAATCCTGATGGCCACATCATGTAATACTCCAGACTGCGCTAACATACTTGCAGAATCAGTTTATTAGCCAGTACGGCATGTATCATCAATTCAGTATGCAGTACTTAACAAACTTATTTTTTTTATAACAGGACTGGCAAACATCACTGGACACTCCATAACAGCAACTGCATGTTACTGCATGTTAAAATAAAGCAGAGATGGATTGCCGTAAATTGTGTGAGATTTTTCTAGTAATCAAGCTCTCTTACTAAAATGAAGAGGAATAGCAAAGGGTTTTTTTGGAGACACCAAATAAATAATGTATTCTGTTCTTTCCAAAGAGTTAAAGAAGCAAACTTCCTATTTGTCTTTTCAAAAATGTATAAAGTTATACCAGTATATTATAGCGAGAATGTAAAAATCTTAAATAAAACCGATAACTTAAACATTAGCAATTAAATCCTGTAATGTAGAGGTATTATACCAAAATACCTTTCTTAATCTTTCAGGAGAAAATTCCAGACCAACTAGAAAGAGAGTGAAGAACACACCAAACTCTCCTAACGTCTCCACCTGTACAATAGACTTTTAAAAAAATAAGACAAAAATCAGTGCACAGCAGTCTACTTACTATACAAATTATAAGTCCACTTACAAAACAAATGGTTTCTCATTATGTTTCCGTAGGTAGTTCACTTTTACTGGCCATATGACATCAGAAGTTCCCTCAGCACCTTTAGGGTTCAAACACTTTTCCCATCACCTGTCTGCTACTAGATAATGTGGTTGCGTGGTGCTGGTCACCCAAAACACACACGTGCGTTGATCTAGGTAAGCTTGCTTGCTTGTTGAAAACAAACAGGTGATGTTTTATGCATATGCTATTAACCCCCCAAGGCCTGCATTCCAGAAGTTACTTCTGGCTAGTTATTTTATTGGTCTATTGGTATAATCACTCTGCTAGACTGTTCTTCTCTCCATCCTACAGACTCCATGCATCCACCTCTCAGACCAGTTCAACTACCCGCCTTTCCACTTCAGAGAGAAGGGTGCAACAGCAAGAAAAGTGGTTTTCTTCCTTGTGACAGCAGAAAAACCTAACATTTCCTTTCTATGTATTTACAGTCCAGAGCAGAAGAGGACAGGGTCTACCATCAATCATAGGCAAGTGGAGATGGAAACTATCTTCCCTGCCAGATTAGAGTCTGCCTGCCTCCTCAGTTCCTCCAACATTCAACTCTTTTTGTGAAATACAGAAGGCACAAAATGAGAGAGTACACACAAGAGACCAAATCAACATGAACATTATCCAGATGAGTAACGTTTAATCACAGCTCCACAAGAAACAGGCAGCTCACTAAGAAACCGTCCTAAAGAAACCTCTCTCACGTCTGTTCTGACCACATCATCTTCCTCAGTGTAAGTCTCTGAACATTCATTGCTGAATCTCTTTCTAATGCCAAGCTTACAAACTTGTTTCTCAGTCTAAGTGGTCAAGTTTTCCAGACCTTCTCAACCCAGAAGCTACGTACGACACAAAGGTTATTATTTAATCTCAATTTTAGAATACGAAAATGTGAAAGTGTAGTATTTGTAGCCTTCTCTTCCAACATGAGATCGACAAAATCCTACAATTTCTACTCCTCCCTACTTACTTTAGAGCTCAACAGTCATTTTCAACAAAAGTCCACATAAGAGCAGAGGTTGCAAAGACAGTAAGTTCCAAGCAGTTACGTGGATATCAGTGTAATACACATGTGTAACTTAACCGGACGTTACCATGCAACCTTAACATGTGTTCTGTTTTGCCTGCTGGCTAAACAATCTGTTAATGCACAGCAGACCACTAATCAAAACATGTGCAATGTCTAGCCAACTGCAGCCCGCGGTTTCACATGAGCTAGTAATCAACGTACACGTGATGGAGCTAAAAAGGTTCAAGAGACTTCAGGAATGTGGGCATGGGGCTGGAAAAGAACTAGGGTGATGGGGACGGATGAAATAGCTACGGAGATGCAAAATAACTCTCTAGGAAGCCAAGCTATGCTACTTGGGGAACTACTTGTTTTAAGTACTTCCTCCACTGCCAACATTTACTTTTTGCAAGTTTCTGAGTATTCGATGTCATTTAAATTATTTGGCTGTCAAATATGATGCTTTATAATTAGAGACGAAAAGAAAAGGAAAAAAAACAACAAACAAAAACCCCACAACACACAACCTTCAGCTTTTACTTTCAACAATTGCTTATGTCATGACTACGTAGGAGAAAAAAATTGAAAACAAAGTGATTCAAAGACATAAAATGTTAAGGCTGTATTTTGCAAAGATTCAGGTTTGGGGATTATGTTTTTATACATACATTTGAGCTTGGCAATACCATATTCTTTTAAAACTACTTTTAAAGATTTCAACAACCAAATAAATCAGTCAAGAAGCAACTTGCACACTTACCTTGATGCTATTTAGTCCCGATGGTCCTAAGAGTACTCCACAAATGATGTACCCAAACATGGTTGGCAATCCTATTGTTGTGCACAGCCAGCCACACGGCAAAGACAACATTCCTATTGTCACAATATCCTAAATAAGTGATTTACAAATGTGTTAATACAAAGGACACGCGAATTTGTGATGAAATTAAAGACTATTATCTTTCAAAAGAAAATAGCATTGTGAAATTAAATGTAGAATACTGCATGTAAAAAGAAAACACAACTTCAGCAAACTAACCTGAACACATTGTTGTAGTTGTAAGCACTGCAGTTTTCAAGATGAAGCAGATGAGGTAGTGACCTTAAGTAATTGGTAGCTTTGGGGACTTTTGATCAATTTATTAAATATTTTAAATACATTATAGGAAGTTGACAGTTTCCTGAGGAATTGTGGGAGGAGTGACACTTTGCATTAAAACAAAATGGTAAAACAGAACCATTTTGGTTTTGTTGTTAAAAAAACTTTAAAATAAAATCCTAATCCAGTTACTCTTCATGAAGCATAAGTACAATAAAAAACCATATCTTTGTATTTTCCAGCATCCCTCTTTTCATCACAAGACATAAATAGGTAAAGTCTCTCTAGTGACAACATGCAACACTCATCAGGCACAGTAGTAGCTTGCTTTAGCACTGTGCAGTCAGAGAGAAGGGATGGTGCCCAAAGGTACAAGTTAAATCAAATAAAAACAGAGAGGATTCATGCAGCATCACGATCAGTCTTGTGAAAACTATACTAGGAGTAGGGAACACATTGGCCAGATCACCAGTAGACGGGGGAATCATGAATGCTACGGTAACTTTAGAGGGACAAATCACAGAATCACATGGAATCACAGAGTGGTTGAGTTTGGAAGGGACCTCTGGAGATCACCTAGTCCAACCCCCCCCCGCTAAAGCAGGATCACCTACAGCAGGTCGCAGAGGGCTGCATCCAGGCGGGTTTTGAATATCTCCAGAGAAGGAGACCCATCAACCTCCCCGGGCAGCCTGTTTCAGTGCTTTGTCACTCTTAGTGTAAAGAAGTTTTTCCTCATGTTGAGGCAGAACTTCCTGTGCTCCAGTTTGTGCCCGTTGCCCCTTGTCCTGTCACTGGGCACCACCAAAAAGAGCCTGGGCCCATTCTCTTGGCACCCAGCCTTTAGATACTTATAAGTGTTGATAAGGTCCCCTCTCGGTCTTCTCTTCTTCAGCCTAAAGAGCCCCAGGTCTCTCAGCCTTCCTTCATAAGAGAGATGCTCCAGTCCTCTAATCATCTTCATAGCCCTCCACTGGAGTCTCTCCAGTAGTTCCTTGTCTCTCTTGAACTGGGGGCCCCAGAACTGGACACAGTACTCCAGATGTGGCCTCAGCAGGGCAGAGTAGAGGGGAAGAAGAACCCCCCTGGGCCTGCTGTCCGAGCGCCTCTTAATGCACCCCAGGATACACTGGCTTCTTGGCCATAAGGGCACATTGTTGTCTCATGGTCAACTTGCTGTCCACCAGGACTCCCAGGTCCTTCTCTGCAGCGTTGATCTCCAGTAGGTCAGCCCCCAACCTGTACTGGTGCATGGGGTTATTCCTCCCTGAGTGCAGGACCCTAGACTTGCCCTTGTTGAACCTCATTATGTTCCTCTCCACCCCACTCCCTAGTCAGTCCAGATCTCACTGAATGGCAGCACAGCCTTCTGGTGTATCAGCCACTCCTCCCAGTTTTGTATCGTCAGCAAGCTTGCTGAGGGTGCACTCTGTTCCTTCATCCAGGTCACTGACGAATATGTTGAATAAGACCAGACCCGGTACAGACTCCTGGGGAACACCATTAGCCACAGGCCTCCAGCTGGACTCAGCACCACTGATCACAACCCTCTGAGCTCTGTCCTTCAGCCAGTTCTCAATCCACCTCACTGTCCACTCGTCTATCCCACACTTCCTAAGCTTCTCTATGAGGACGTGGCAGAAGACAGTGTCAAAAGCTTTGCTAAAGTCGAGGTGAACATCCACTGCTCTCCCCTCATCCACCCGCCAGTCATGCCATCACAGAAGGCTATCAGGTTGGTCAGGCAAGATTTTCCCTTCATGAATCCATGCTGAAACTACATTCAATCCAACGAAGCAGTACTGGCATACAAACCAGTGGGACTAAATCTTACCAAAATGAAAGACAAGAACATCTCTAAAATTATTACCTTTATGAAATGATGATCAGCACGAGGAATAGTTGAATCTCTGGGTTTGGTAAGGATGTACTGATTGTTCTGGGAATCAATAAGCATACTAAGACCTAAGTCATCCTCTACTTCTCTTTTTGAAGCATTGCTTTTGGAGTTAGCCTCATCTTCTTCCACCCTTAAAACCGCTTCAAAGTTTACACCTCTTACCTGTAAGAAAAAGAAAGCAAATTAAAAAAAAAGGGGGGGGGTGGGGGGATGGGTGTCAATGACAATGAAGTATACAGTAAAAAGGGAAAGACTATCAACTGTGCTTGAAGTTGCTCCAGAATTTCAGAATTTGTTGACACTGACTAAAAATACTGCAGTTTCTTCTTCGAGAAGTCTTTCAGTCTGTTTATCAAAACTTGATGTCCATAATTAAAGGCTAGAATTTCCTTTACATTTTAAAAATGAGGGGTTTTCCAGGCCTCTTTAGCCAAGTCATCCAACCGAAAAATACAAAGACAGGGTTTCAAAGCTGTAAAACTCCAATTTGGTATTTTCAATTGCATTTAATCTGAAATTTTTTTTTAAAAAAAAAGCTTTATCACATTTAGAATATAAAAGGTTGGATTGAAATGTAACATTTTTTTCCCTTGAACAAAAACAATTAGAGATTACAAAGTGATACTCAGTTCACAAAAATCTGAAACGACGACTGCATTCCAAGTCAAGAAAAAGTCACTGTCCTGTAAATCTGAAGGAGAGAGGATAAGAACTGTTTCTACCTAGCTCTGTCTTCAGTGCCTGTAATCACAAAGAGAAGACACTAGGATGATTTCATTATTCATGGTATTTTAAATAATGTAGATTTTAACAATATTCAGAAACAAATAAGGTTGTTACTTCTTTTAGACTCCAGTAAAGAGAGCAGGCTGCTGTCATTCCAATGACTGACTACAAAACACTCAACTTTTCTAGATTGCTGTATCTTGCCCAAGCAACTACCCAATTTAATGAAGGAATGCATCCACATAAGCCACCTATAAAATAGCCTCCTATTTTTCTTGCTGATTCCCCAGCATGTTCCCCCAAACTGTTCAGATAAATATTGCATTTTCAATGTTTAATACTTAACCTGAAATTTTAATCCTTTCTTCTACTCCTTACATATGTGCGTGTATCATTAAATAACAACTTTTATCGTGGGAATAAGCTCTTGCCCTAGTTTTGTACATCATGCAACATGATGGGCCTCTAAAGAATTGAAAGTCACTATGAATCAGACAAATTTTGAAGAATGAAACAAATTATGACGTTTGCAGAATTATTTAGGAGCAGAAAATAGCAGCTTCGAGCATCCAGATTTTTAGCTGTTGCAGTGAGAGACTGACAACCATTTTCTTTTTATGCACTATGAAAGCGGTCTTTTCACCCTTTTTGGATCAAAACTTGTCTTTTTATATATATATTCTGCCTTTACTTCCCTAAGCTCCCCACTTACCAGGCTACTTTGCATTCCAGAATGAGGTGTCCATTACCAGGTCTAAGAGACCAAACCATGTTTTCATATTTTCCGCTGATGGGAGAAAGCAGGAGCAGCTGCATGCCACGCACATGCAAACTATTCTGACAGTATTGGAGCAAAGAAGAAAGGCTTCCCTACAGTCAGCAAACATGAAGAACTGTTTCTAATCAGAATACAAAGTAAGTGCCCAATCCTACTGGGTTTCTGTCATCTTTGCTCCTGACCCCCTCTCCAACATCCTCATTGCTACTCCAGGGATACTAAAACAGAGCTTAGAGTTACTTGTTAAATGTTGGCTCTGCAATATAAAACATACTTTACACTGACTTCCACACTGGAATTATTTCACTGTTCAGTGCAGTGTCCCTGTCTTGCAAACAACTATTATTTTGCCTAAAACCCAAAATCCTAATAAGCCAACATCTGTTCTAGTATCTTCTTGGGAATTTCATGTTATGACATCAGCAATAGTGTTCACTAAGCAAAATTATCTTATAAAACATATAAGCAGTGAAGCATCTACTTTGGCATTCCAGAACTCCAAATTCATACCAAGTTTGTTACATGTTCCTTTGCACTTGGTAGCTTGTGTGTCTGGAATATAACCAATCTTCTCTGTATCAAAATTAAAAATGTATCAAAGATCATATAAAAGAAATGCAATTGGATAAATACCTTCCTCATCTAGTGGAGTTCACAGTCTAGGTCAGAAACAGTGTTAAGAAAAAAGGGAAGGTGTTTACAAGATTAAGAAAATTATGAAAAATTATCTGTTTTTTTCTGTGTAATATATATAAAAAAATCATATGCTGTGTGGATATTATGGTGCATTTTTACTTTCACAAAAGAAAAGGGAACTGACAAAAGACAGACTATGCTAGAAAAGCAAAAGTAGATGGCACAGGTTCAGATGATCTTTTAAATGCTAACAAATTTGAGGAAATAATGAGAGAAAACAGTTATTTTCAGAATTGTATTTCCTAAAACAACAATTCCTGAAAGCAGGTTGTACATAACAGAATACAGCGCACAAATAGCCTTGTCTGGCATTAAGTGGGTTAGCCAAGATTCTCTTTTTTTTCTCTTCCTCCCCGAAAAAGGATGCGTGGGCATTTTGCCAATTAACAGGTGTGGCAGAAGAAACCTCGTTCCCGGTCTCTTTAAAACGTGCCGTTATACCCCAGCGGAACAGAAGAGGGCACTCCAGCTAGCTCGTCCCTTCCCGCTGTTGGTCCTGCTAGGTAGGATTCCCACTGGGTACAATTGCTGTATACAAAATAAAAAGCTGCTTTCACTTTCTTTCAGTACAAGTACAACTACAAAAAATGGCCTGGCTCTCTACTACGGAGCAACTGTTTTTCCTCCTCAGCAGAGGCTATGCTCGCCTCGGAAGTCAACCTGCAAATCAACAAAAACCTTTCAAGAGCAAAAGCCAAATAAAATTGCAACCCACATTTAGGCAAGCTGGACCAATTTAGAGAGTCAGTCTCCAAGGACAGCACAACGGGACACCAGAATAAACCGACGTACTCCCAGCTCCAAATACACACAGCCTTACCTGAGCGATACTGTCCATCATGCAACACAGAAACGGTGAACAATGCAAATAGGCTAAGGTACAAAAAGCAGAGGAAGCCAGAAGCGGAAGAAAGCAACACCACAAACACATTTCAGGTCCTTACCTTGAACAACATATCTTTTCCCAGACTGTGAAAACTAACTGCAAGGATTCTTGTCCTCCCATAACTTTCTCAACAAAATGAAAGAGAAAAAAGCGGAGACTGCACTTAACATGATAACGCCATATCCTGCAAAGTCTAAACACCACAGTCCCCACCACCGCCACTGAGATGTCATAACTCTCATGGGCTGTATCAGTGAGGTGGACTACATTTGTCACTGTCAAAGCGGCAGCTGCAGGGAGGACTTTCAAATCAAAACCTCTGAAATCACTAGCAAAAAGGAGTAATTATTCCTGTTTGCTCACTCCAAAACAAGCAATCATTCTACCACTACTTTCTTCTATTGAAAGGGAAGCAAAAACAAATGTAGAGCCAAAAGATTTTGTTTTGTTTTTTTAAATAGTCACTAAAATCCCAACAACAATGTAACACAAGAGAAATACCCCTACAGCGCAAACAGCAACTCAAAAATAAATGCACGCCAATGAAAAGACCAAGTCTCACTTACAGATTTGTTGTCATCAAAGGCATGCTCTTCTATTTCTTCTTCCAATCTATCAGCTGCCTTCCTGACATCTTCTAGAATTTCATCAAGCATTGACAGGCTTTTGTTTTGATGCTGCATGTTCTTAAGGGCTTCAACCTGATGTTTTTCTGCTGCTAAGAGTTCAACGTATTCCATTTCTTCCTGTTGAAGTTTACAACACACAGATAAAGTGCTGGCCAGAACTTCAGGCAGAAAAACATTTGACATAAACGTGCACTTCTTTGACACAAAACATCTTACCAGTGGAACTGCAAACGCAATATAGACTTTATAATGGTATTTGAAGATTGCTTTCTCTTATGCCAGTTTCCATTGGGAGAAGCGGGCAAGAAAAACAACCACCAAACAAAATATTCACCAATCACGTTTGCTCCTCTGGTAAACAGCAGAGCTGCCCCAAGGTTACAATCCAGAAAATACAAGAAAGGAATTACTTTGAGGAACTCCAGGAAATTTCAAATCCAAGTAAAGTTTAGAGCTCAGTGCTTTATCAGGGAAGCTTAATAACCTTGGAAGCATAGCTTCACTAGATACAACAAACAAACAAATTGGAAGGAAAACATAATGAATCTTAATTTTATAAGCTATTTTATAAACATGGGAAGAGGTTTGTTTATGGTTTTCAAAAATTACAGTAACTGTGGAAACAGCTACAAAAAATAAAAGCAGTTGGGAGAGAGTACAGATGAGCAGTCAAGCACTCTAGCTGAGGTTCCTCTTCGTGTTTCCCAAGAAGTATTTTTCCCATCAGAAGTAAAATACTTGAATTTTTCCATCTTTTCAGTCTGGGCCTCTTAAGAACGTGCACTAATGACTTCTGAAATCCATTTCTAGGCTTCAGAAGCAAGAAAAAAAGAAATGCTGATGTGGTTTGATATGGTGTGAAAATATTTCAGTAGCTTCCGTGATAAGTTATGATGTTTCATTTTTCTTTGGATGTTCCAGGTTCAAAAAGAGAACTAGAAAAGTTTTACTTACTGATCAAGACTGGACGTAACACTCTGCCTTTTACATGGTTACTGAGACAATAACCAAACATAATACATTGTGCATTGACAGAGTATAATTAGAGGGTTTATTGGAAAAAAGATGCTTCAATCACGTGCCTATGTTCTTTTAAGGGTGCACGGGTTGAGAGAGAGCACAACTATGAATGACGAAACATACGCAATGGCAGGCTTCTTTCTTTCAGGTAGAGTCAGGATGCTGAGCATATTTAGATGAGAGAGACCCTACATCTGTTCTTTATGAGGGACAATATTATTACCAAGGGAAAAAACAGACTGGGCAAAAAACACAAGCAATCGCTAGGTCACACTGAATTCCCAGAAAACTATCCCAAATTTCTATCTCCGTTTTAGCTGCCCTGCCATACTCAGTTAGAAATTGGATAGAACATAGGTCTCTCTCAGGTTGTGTGTTTTATCTGCCCACCCCACACAGATATCTTGGATAACCTGGACATCTAAACAGTCCTAAACTCCCATGTTTAAATAACCGGAGCATCCCCTCCTGCACACATGTTTGCGGGTGGACATTTTTCCCCTTGAAATCTGCAAGGACATGCATATAATTCAATTAATTCCTTGATGCCAAGACAACAGCATGTTCAGTACAGCCTGTAACTGTGGCTTAACTGGTTTAAAATCCTGACAGTCAGATGAATACCTCTGGTTGTGATGAAACCACAGAATTGCTGACTGTTGGTGGTTAGAATTACCATAGTTACACTGGCTTGATGAAAATTATCCAGTTCCCAAAATAGCTGGAGTCAGGAAAAATGTAACTATTAATGTGTTTGGCCCAAAGTCAACTGCTTTAGTTCTTATGCAACACATAAGCAAGAGACATGGTCACTCTCATACAGCTTCAAGGAAAAACATTTCCTATCCTTTGTTCTCTGCTAGCAGACATTGCTTGAAAGATGTAAAAAACAGCCCCTGTATGAGCTACAGATTTTTTCCTCCATCAGCAACAACTTAGAATGAGAGATGGAATTGATAAGGGTTAGATTCTTTCCTCTCAAAAATGGAATAGGCTTTGGATGGAGGGAGCCAATCAGTCCTTTCTGTCAGCTGAGACAAATAGGCTGAACAGAGCTAGAGGTAAACTGCACAAAAAAATAAATAACACTAATTCGCAAGTTAACCTTTTCTAAATAGCAAGGTAGAAGAGCGCTGAAAATCTGAGTTTAATTGTAAGTTCCTTTAACTAATGAAGACAAGGGGGTTAAAGTGGCATCTCTGTTTTCACCTACAGACCAGTGTCACAGCAGTGGAGTAGGACAATCACAGAGAATGGTGTCCATGAAAAGGGCAAGCTATCTCAAACAGCCTGCTACATGTTAAGCAGAAGTGCATCACAGTACAAAACACTGGTTTTGCAACTCATGCTAGGTTTGGAGACATACAATCAGAAGGTACATAACAAACAACCTTTTAAATACGGTAATACAGATAAGGATTGTGCACTAAACAGGAGTCAGGAACACCTAGAAACACATGAGCAAAATAAAGTAAGATAAAGTAAGGCTTTGGGGCAATGCTGGTTAAGAACCCAGTGTTGCTGTTGCTCTCCACTGTTTCACGAGCGATGAAGAAAAGCACATTCAGAAGAGGATGCATCTTTGCACTAGCACAACTTGCAAGTTATTTTTTCCATCAATATCCAAGTAGTAGGCACCCAAGAAATTAGAAGCTGATAAAAAGTAGGTCAGGTTTTGTTGTGTTTTCCTGAACCTCCACACAGGTTCCTGGAGCAAAGGAAGGCAGAAGAAGCTATCTATCTTCAGAGCTTCTTCCTTCGCTCCCACCCCATGAATGATTCTGCTATACCTTTTCCCAGCAGCAGAACCAGCAGGAAATGCATCAGACATGCTTATATATCCCAGTATTAAAGACTTCCAAATACTTCAACTCAACAGAAATAAAATGAAGGGAAGAGTCCAGCACCCTCTACAGTCATTTGTATTTTCCATTCAATCACTGTTTAAAGAAGGGAAAAGGTGTCTTATGAGCACACCAACAAAGTAATCATTACAGTAAAACGAAACTGGAACAAGATTGGACCTAATGTGTTTCTTCTGAAGTTAGAACAAGTCTAAAAAATGTATCCCATGTAATTTTCATCTTTCTGGCATGCATTTCCCCACTATCCTTTGTTCCACTTTATATAACAATTGTAAGGTTAGAACAACAAATATTCTATTTAAATAATCGTGTGCGTGACATAAGAAGGAAGGGTGTAAAAGATTGCTCATTCAAGTAAATATCTTGGTATGATAATAAAAAAAAGCCTACACAATCCACCTCTGCAGAAGTAAAGTTTTGACCGGACACGCATCTAAAACATACCATTATACACCCAGGTCTCCTTTTATGAGAAAAATAAGGATGGATTACTTCAGTATTTTACAGTAACTTTGCCAAGAATTAAGTAAAAGAGAAAGAAGATTCTGGATGGCTTCACTGCTGCTATTTTAAGACCTCAGAGAAAAAAAAAAAAAAAAAAAAGGTGGAAAATCAAGAAATTTTCATTACAATTGCTACCACTTCTATACAGCAGAGGCTGGTACTACCATTCAGCACCAATATCAAAGTCATATTGAGCACTTCATTGGAACACACCTACATCCAAGCTACTCCCCATACAAATCTGTCATAATTCAGTCTTTGTTTTCACTGCACAGATCACTCCAGTCTCCCAAGTCTGCATCCTAACTTCTACTTCTACCAGCCTTTCTTGCCCAACTCACTGCACACGTTTCTTGCACACAATCTCTTGCCATCTTCACCTGTTAAGATCTGCACATCTCTTACACAAATGCCCTTTTGGAGATTTCCCAGCTCAGATGCTATATGCCAATTACGGGGTTTTTTTCCCTTCTCTTGCTCTCTTGCATGAGGGCAGCCTCTTCTTTTAGAGGATAGAAGACAAAGAAAATTCTTAATATATTCCTCCAGTGGTTGAGGGGTAGAGCAAGGAAATTAGCAATTTAAATACCAAATTAATTAAATGACATTTTCTCTCAATGGGAGACTTTCAGTAGCCTGAGCACTACTAAATCCAGCAGACAGTGGCAGATTGTGCACACCCTAATGCGTCTGCATTGACCCGGGAACTCAAATTTTCCATGAAGTACTTATGCTCAACTGTTACTCATCTGTGCTTTTCTTGGTAAAGTTCTCAGCCAGCTCTTTCTTTTCAAACCTGCACTTCTTAAGCTAGGAGTGCTGTATTGAGGTTAAAAATCCAGTCACCTCATATTTTGGATGTCTATTTTACCCACACCTATACAAATATGGAAATAAAAGTCAAGAAGTCATTCTGTTTAAATTGTAGATTTTGGTTGAGGAATTCTCATTTAAAGTGGAAAAAGCCAGTTAGTATTTTGCCAATTCATGGCATTATTTCCACTCTGATAATCCCACTGGCTTATCTAGTGCAACTGTGCTATGTGCACTGACTCACTTCCTGTATTCCTCTCCCTTTAACATAATATTTGCCATAGGTCTTATGATTATGCTTAGCTTTGTTTTCAAATAAGAACCATCAATTGCTAGCAAGTTTTAAGCTTCACACCAGAATTACTTCTAATTCTACTAATAAGACAAATCTTTTCATTCAAAGAACATTGCAAGTTTCTTGTAAATCCAAATTTTATTAAAATAGATTGAAACTGTGCCATAATGAAATTAAAATCACAAGTAGAATATTAATAGTCTAGTAATAAACATGGGGGAAACTAACCTTAATTGCCGCTTCTCTCAAGGCTTCCAGTCTCTGTCTGCTGCTTTCTTTCATATTTACAACATCTTTGTAATCACCCTGTAGAGCTCTCTGGAGGCCATGGATTGCTTGAAAGACCGAGTTTTCACTTTCATTTAGCTCCTTTTGGAAAATTTCAAAGGTATGCACCTGAAAAAGCTTCTCTTCATCTGACAGTCCTGCATCCTTCTCCACTGCTCTAATAGCATTTTTTAGTTTGTTGAGAACAACGTTCTTTTGGCGAAGAAGACCAGATAGTTTTCTGCAGCTCTCCAACACCCACTGCTTTCTCTGAGAGATAACAGCTCCTTTCCCACGGTGCAGCTTTATTGCATGCTTTACTACATCCTCATGTTCTGCAGGATTTGCTAACTGGCCACAAGGCAGTGAAACCAACGTCCATAGGGAAATAAATCCAGTCACCTTCATTCTTCACTTTTTATTGCTGTTGGGAGAAACTGATAATCCACAACTGCTCAAAGCTTTCTGCTACATGGTTTCTGCATCTCCAGTACGCATACCACACTGCAAGATAGTACCAATCAGTTATCAAACATGATAATGTTGGGCCATTACGACAATGGTCAAATAAATGTAGAAAACAAACCTAAGACTGCATCCCATGCTATGATCTTTAACAGAATGTATATGGTCTCTTTCAGTTATCAAAATCAAGCCCAAGGTTATTGAGAGATTTTTGTTTTCCCCTTGACTACTTTCTAGATATCCTCTTGTTTTAAAAACACTGACTGGAAAGCTTAGACATTTCACATGGTAGTCACCAGCACTTCTTACATGACAAAAAAGCCATTAAAAATATTAAACCAAGATGCCATAGGCTGTACTCCAACCTAGCACCAGAACTCATTATTCTTATCTATCAGTAAACCTCTTGTATTTTTTCAAACATATCCTAAAAAATTGTACCACAATCAGTTGTTATTTATATAGCCTAAGAAGCATTAACACACTCAACTATACAAAACCTAATGAAAAAAAAAATCTTAACTGAAACAGATTACGGTATAAATCAGACTTGTGAAAGAAACATTTCTACAGTAAAGAAATAACAGCAAAACTTCCTGGGCTTCTGAGCACTACTAGTTTGGATCAGAGACCTTCACTTGAAGGGCTGCATGGCCTTGAGGCCTTTTACTTCAAAACTAATTATTGATCCTCATGATTTTAAAACAGAGTGATAAGAACACTAGAAGTAAAATCAATTCATTCATAAGTTCATTTCCCAGAAACTACTTGAAGTTCTATATTTAAACTGCTGTATTTGCTTTTAACACCAAGCAGGATAGAATTTCAAAACTAAGAAAAAATTTCCTTCCCCCAGAACCTACAGAAAAATACTGACATTATTGCAAAATAACAAAGTTACATTTTATTTTAAAAAACCCCAACTGAACAAACACAAAACCCCACATACCACCAAGCTATACATAACAAGGTATTAATGTACACACAAAATACACATTTATCACTGAAACGTGACATTCTAAAAATACACAACACACACTACATGTCAGTAGATTATCAACAGAGAATGCATTCACCTAAAACTTTAGCTGCAATCCTGATCTCTGAGACAACAGCCTTACTCAGAACCAACACATGGCTATAGTCATCTGGAAGCCACCTGCCTAAGACAGAATTACAATGCAGTAGCAGTCACAGTCACAAGTATCCAAGCCAGCCATCATCAATACATAGATTGGGAAGGGCAGGTGGCAAAGCACAGCCATGCATACCTTTGCTTCTAAAATGCCCTCCCATCTCTGTTTCAGAGAGAACTGAGAAAACCTGTCTGTGGGTCAGTTTATTCCTCTTCAATGCATGAAATACAAGCCAAAGTATTTAGCTACCAACAGCTGACTATGGGCTAAGGTTTAACAATATGAAAAGATAAAACATTTAAAATTAAGAACTGAAAGAATAATGAAAATAGCAAAAGCATATCTACATCACTCCAACTTCAATAAAATAATAAAGTAGAAACACTTCAGAACTTCAATAAAACTATGAGGTTTGCTATTTTTAAGAGATCAGAAAAAAATAACAATCCTCACCACTTGGCAAAATTCTAGAGTGAAACTTAAGGAAATATTTCTTCACTTATACAAAGTAATACTCTTCCTGTTTAACATGTTTGGGGGAGAGATTTTGCTGAACATGTTACAACCTACTCCTGCAAGAAAGAAGAAGATGCCTAGTGTATAGTCGAGCTTCTATTTGCAGGGAGTTGAGCAAGAGACTCTGCTGCACATCCTTCATCGTATGTCAAACCACATAACTAAATCCTGAGCAGAGATTTGTACCAGTAAGTTTACCCATTGTTGCACTGTGTAAGCTTACCACGCTTGGCTAGCAAGAACTATTTGGAAAAGTGGCACCTGGGGCAGTGCTCAAAACCTCTTAACGCAATAATGGCCTCATATAAAAATACATTAAGTGCTCCAGAGTGCAAACAGAAGAGAAAAAACCCAAACCACTACTCTCCATGCAGCAGCAAGTATCAAATTAGAGGCAACTCCTGTCGTTTGGAGTCCTTTCTAAGCCCAGTTTGTTTCCTGATGGATTGCAGCTCATCTTCCCGATCGTTCCTTCCTGAACACGACACTGTAGTACCGGATTTCATCAAGCTGATATTAGACCCTGCCTCCAACGCAAGCCCCGATCCTTCCTTCCAAAACGCTTGCGGGTCCTTCCACACCTGCCTGTTCGCCGCCACCCACCAGTTTCTCAGTCCAAGCTCCTTCTCAGCACCTGCAGGGAGG